ACTGAGCAGGGATGCTCAGTCCTGGGGCTCAATACCGGGACCCTGAGATCATGACCTGAGCTAAAGGCAGATGCTCAGTCAACTGAGCCACCCAGGTGCCCCTAAAATTCTTTAAAAGAACTTTATATTTCATTTGACTTTATAAAATCATTTAGAGGCAAGAAGATGGTGGTGATTATCCTTTTTATTAGTAAAAAAAGCATGGAGTTAAACCAATTGAGATTTAAATATCACCACTCTCTGTAATCTTGGGCAAGTGTTTTGTAACTCTGACTCTTAGTTTCTACATCTGAAAACTGGTTTTCATAACAGCTAATATTTATTGACATATGCCAGGAATGTGCTAAACTTCTTAGACACATTATTTTATGTAGTTCACATAGTAACTTTACAGGGTAAATCCTGCTCCATACTCATTTCACAGGTGAAGACCAGAAGTGCAGAAAAGCAGGTGATTTGATCAAGGTCACATAACTAAATTTGTGATACTAAAATAATTAGAGATGATGTATGTAATATGGATGTAAAGCAGTGTCAGACTCTGAAGTGTTCAGCAAGACATTATCAATTATTGCTGATGCTGTTCTAAAAGAAACCAAAGTGCATTTGGATCAGATTTGGTCTATAAATAATCTACAAGTTGAGGATTAAATAGTATTTCAGATGTCTGAGTCCCCAACTCTGACTCCAGAATTCTAAGGTGAAATTTCCAGATTAACAACTTGAAGAGAGGCAACCATGTCTCTTAATTTTCTCTTATTTATTTATTTATTCTCTTTTTAAATTTTTAAATTAACATATAATGTATTATTAGCCCCAGGGGTACAGGTCTGTGAATTGCCAGGTTTACACACTTAACAGCACTCACCATAGCACATCCCTTCCCCAGTGTCCATAGCCCACCACCCTCTCCCTACCACCCCCCACCCCCGCTACCCTCAGTTTGTTTTGTGAGATTAAGAGTCTTTAATGGTTTGTCTCCCTCCCAATCCCATCTTGTTTCATTTATTCTTTTTTTTTTTTTTTTAAGATTTTATTTATTTACTTCACAGAGACCACGAGTAGGCAGAGAGGCAGGCAGAGAGAAAGGGAGAAGTAGGCTCTCTGCCGAGCAGAGAGCCTGATGCGATGTGGGGCTCGATCCCAGGACCCTGGGATCATGACCTGAGCCGAAGGCAGAGGCTTAACCCACTAAGCCACCCAGGCGCCCCTTGTTTCATTTATTCTTTTCCTAACCCCCAAGTCCCCCACGTTGCCTCAACTTCCTCATATTGGGGAGATCATATGATAATTGTCTTTCTCTGATTGACTTTTTTCGCTAAGCATAATACCCTCTAGTTCCATCCACGTCGTCGCAAATGGCAAGATTTCATTTCTTTCGATGGCTACATAGTTAATTTTTTCTTATATTCCATGGCTCTTAATATACATTTGAGAAAATTGTATACATTTGATAAATACTTATTGATGATTATAAATTTCTCTTGAAAGGAAAAATGTGGATGTATTTATAAATTAAAAATGGCCATTTTCTGTAAAGTATTTCATTTCCTTTAAGGGTTAATTCTTTCATTCCATTATTTTAAAAACTTGCCATTGGAGGGTAATTTTAGGACTTTCATTATAAGAGTCTTTTGTTTTCACATTGGTATAAGAAAAAGAAAATGAGAAAGCTATAGAGAAGGCTGACCTCTCAAGAATTTCTGTGTGGGGAATTACTAAGGCATGGAAGTCCATAAGCCATTTTTCTCCATTTATTTTTTTGTATATTTTCAACAAGCTGTACTTCTGCTTAGTGAAAGTTGGCAGTTTTTTTTTAGTACCAGGCCAAATTCCATTCTCATCAACTCAGAGTTCATAGGACATATTGAAGTCTAAATTTACCCTAGATTGAGTGTATTTTAGTAAAGATGGCCTAGTGTATTGGGGGCTCACTTTACCTCAAAACAGTCTTTAAGAATAGTAAATTTTAGGGTATCTGGGTGGCTCAGTCCTTAAGCGTCCGCCTTCAGGTCCTGGGATCGAGCCCCGCATGGGGCTCCTCCCTGCTCAGCGGGAAGCCTGCTTCTCCCTCTCCCACTCCCCCTGCTTGTGTTCCCTCTCTTGCTGTCGCTCTTTAAAAAAAAAATTTAAAAATTAAAGTTAAAAATTAAGTTAAAATTCATTAAAAATTAAGTTAACATTAAAATTAATAAAAATAAAAATATAAAAATTTAGAATTAAAGAATATTAATTTTATAACAAATCCTATAATATATATCCTAGTTTTAGAAAACAGCTTGAATAGTTTTAGTCTGATTATAACAGAAACATATCTGTGAATGATGCTGGCATACCAGTATGCCTTTCTTTGTTAGAACATAATTTTGTGGTATTTAGTCAGACAATCCGATCTTTACATTTGGAGCAAATGCCTTCTTCCTTTGAAATTTAAGATTTCTGTGTTTCATCACTGGAATAACTTATAAACTTGTTTGTTTACAAGTAGCAATTGATAAGTGGGAGGAGATTTTCAAATGGATAACAATGAGATATTTTTCTTCCTTCATTATCTTCCTGTGCTTGGTCAGGAATTTTTTTTTTTCTTTCTTTCACAAACTCTTTAGAATTACGATGCTTTGGTCTACTATGCATCTTTGTCTTTTTTGTTCACTGATGTATCCAAGGGCCTGGAACAGTGCTTGGCTCATAGTAGGACCCAAATATTTGTTGAATGAGAGAATAAAGGGTCTCTTGTTCGGCTCTTGGGCAGCTCTAGTATGCATCTTGCTTTTTTACTTACCAGATACATTCGGAGGTTTAGCCACTATCCACTAGATTTTGATTCATCCACTGACTCTATATTATAGTAGGATATTATTTATAGTGACACCTATGCTTTGTGATGGTAAGAGGGAAAAAACGTACAGACTGACACACTGTAGAGACAGAAAGTAGATTAGTGGTTGTCTGGAGCTGGCATTGGAGGTGAGAACAGAAAGTGGCTGCAGAGGGGCAGTAGGGATCTGTTTGGGTGAAGGAAATGCTCTGAAACTGGGTTGTGGTAATAGATGCACGGCTCTATAACTTATTAAAAATCACTGAGTTGTTGGAGTGAGTGAATTTACAGTATGTGAACTGTATTTCAGTAAAATTGTTAAAAAAACAAAACCAGGTTGGGAGTCTAAAAATTCTTGGAAAAATTGGAAAACTAGCATGATGTAATTATTTATTTCTTACTTTAGGTATGACTTGTTGCTATAGATAACTAATTTGCCTCAAACCAATTTTCTTGTGAAGTATTTCAGGACAGAGAGATGTTCATTCATTCTCTGGAAAAGTACTTTCTTTGTGATATTATCTTGGAATATATAAGGTTTTCAATATAAAACATCTTATTACATCTAATTTCCTAATTCTCTTCTATAGGAATAATCCAAGGCTAACAAGATGAATAGATGTAAATTACTCCACATTGCTGATAGATTATTTACATTTGGTTACAAAATTAGGACATCCTATTTTTTTTTTCCATTGCCTTTCTGAAAGATTAACTCACTTAGATTACTTTCTTTTCATTTTCTTAAGTGAATTATTTGTGGACTCTCTCACTGATCTACTATCCTCCCTCTCCCATCCTCCATCACCTTTTTTTTTTTTTTGGTTTGGAGATTATTTGTATTTTAAAATTACTTGTTGGGTGAAAGAAGTTTTTCCACGAAACTAGTATTTTTTGTATTCCGTATGTGTCTCCTCCCCAGGAGTACAGCCCCTTTAAAAATTCGACTCTGTCCTGAAAAATTATTTATAAAAGCTTTCCCACAAGTCTAATGAAAGCCAAATAGTTTAAAGATCTAATTAAATTTATTGAGATCAGTTAACTCTAAAGTCCAAAGATGTCAAGCATTGGCAAGGACGTGAGGACCTAGAGACATTGTTAATTAAAAGGCACTTGTATTTTAAGAATGAATAGAGGTGGCTTGATTTCTCATCAGTTAGATCATTGTGCAGTTATTCTGTAGCTTGGAACTATTAGTTGATAATAGTTGTTATTGTTACTCTTACAATATTTAGTGCTGGCTGTATGTCAGACACTGTTTTAAAAAGACTTTTCTTAAGGCACTCATTTGATTCTGATAAGAATCCTATGAGGTAAGGATTACTACTATCCTTATTTAACAGATAAAGGAAAATAGGTCACACAGAACTCATCCAGGGTCCCACAGCTAGAAAATTCAGGCAGGCAGGCGTGGCTCCTCATTACCATACCAAAATCAAAAGACAACTTTTCTTTTTCTTTTCAAAAGCAAAAAAACCAAAAAAACTTCATCCTGAAAGGGTTAAGAAATCTGTAGTATAAGAAAATAAGAATTAATACTCTGCTGCTAGGTGGAGAAATATGTTCTTCCATTTTCCTTCTTTATTTTTATTTTCTCCTTGTTTCCATTTGTATTTTTATGTTTCTGTTATTTATAAATTTATATTTTTATGTCCTTATGTTACTTTCCATTGTGACTTTTATGACTCATTGTTATTCTCAGTGACTGATGTGCTCTGTTTACTCATAATTTTTCATACTATGCTAGGCCGATAGTTGAAATAGTATTTCTTGAATTTAGTCAGAAATCTTTTATTAGGATTTCTTTTATGTGTCTGATAGTTTAATCAGTTGTCCACTGGGATTGGTTGAACATTTCTGTGGCAACTCCTCAAGCGTTACCTGTTGCTTAAAAGGTATGAAGTGTAATCGCACCTCTTATTTCTATCTATGTTTTGAGAAATCTGTATTATTTTAATTCCAAAGGTGAATTTTACGTAAGAATGCTTATGCTTGTTGGTTAAATGGTGATGTAAGTATCAATATAAATAAGCAAAAATATTTTAATAAATTGATCTCTGTTGAATTAAACTAACCATACAATGAATGATCTCACAGTATGGATATATTTTGAGGAAAAGTTCAAGGTATTATTTTTTTAAATCATTCATTCCCATTCCTTTGTTTTTATTTTATTTTTTAGGATTTTGGCCCCTAACAGTAATTATCAAGATGTTGAGCCCCTCTATAACTTCCTAATCAAGTATGAGGTATGAGAAGTATTTTAAAATGTTTATCATATTTCCACCATAAACAAGTTTTACTATAAATAAACATGATAGAGGTCTAAAACCATCGGAATGCTATTTAACTGGCATTTGCTTTAAATTTTCAAAGGCCACGGAAGTTTGTCAAAGACAGATTAAACTTTTTCTTTCATTCATAAAATAAAAACATAAGAGTCCTGTAATAACACACTCTCTCCAGCACAGAATTGTTTCTCATTAGGGGTGCGGTTGGCATTTCGGGAACGGGTCATTTCTCCATTGTGTGGAACACGGCAGGTGTTCGCATTGCTGCTCCTCACATACTACATCCCAATATCTGAGTCAGTGTGACAGCTGAAAATATCCTTCTGCCCCACTCAGCTCACAGACCCAGACGGCCCCTAGGGAGAAAGAGCCACCTCGGTTTGAGAACCAGCGATTAGTGAAAAGGAAAGCTATGATTCCGCTTCCTCTGTAGCTGCAGCATACACCCTTGGTGTGAGAGCTGGGGGCTGGGGTGAGGCTCTGGTGTGTTTTGTGACTGAACTTGGGAGCTTTCCTCATCAGCACTGAGTGAGCTCCGGAGAGTATTCTATTCTATTCTATTCTATTCTATTCTATTCTATTCTATATTTTTTATTTTTTCAGTGTTCCAAGATTCATTGTTTATGCATCACACCTAGTGCTCCATGCCATACGTGCCCTCCATAATACCCACCACCAGGCTCACCCATCGCCCCACTCAAAACCCTCAGTTTGTTTCTCAGAGTCCAGTGTCTCATGGTTTGTCTCCCCCTCCGATTTCCCCCAACTCGCTTCTCTCCATCTCCCAGTGTCCTCCGTGTTATTCCTTATGCTCCACAAGTAAGTGAAACCGTACAGTAATTGACTCTCTCTGCTTGACTTATTTCACTCAGCAAAATCTCCTTCAGTCAGGGAGAGCATTCTGTTATCTTCAGTTTCTCTTCCCATGTACCTGTATGTTCTTTCAAGTGCACGTGTGTGTGTGTGTTGTAAGTTTTTAAATGTTCCAAATGAAGGAATGTGACATATATTAAGGTCTTACATTTCTTTTTTTTTTTTTAAAGATTTTATTTATTTATTTGGCAGACAGAGATCACAAGTAGGCAGAGAGGCAGGCAGAGAGAGAGAGGAAGGGAAGCAGGCTCCCTGCCGAGCAGAGAGCCCGATGCGGGGCTCGATCCCAGGACCCTGGGATCATG